AATTTGTTTCCTTTTCCAATAGATTTGATCTGTTAAATAAGAGCCAGTTCCAGAGCTCCTGTGGATATTACTAACAGTGTTACACAGTGAGTAGCCCAGCTTTCATGGCTGTTCAAAAGCTGAGACCCTAAAAATTCTCAGCATGCTGCCTGTGCTTCCAAAGCTTTGCCTTAAGCTGTCCCAAATCTTCCAGCACAAAAAGCTCTTTAGAACCAGCAACAGGCACTACTGGTAGAAATATCTGCTCTCCTTTGCTAAGCACTAATAGCAGCTACTGCCAGAGCTTGGAGAGATGGCAAMTTTGGACCAGTGGGGGACATGTCTTTATTCTCGCTCTGTTTTACGACTTCTTCTGAAAAATCTTCTTTTTCGCAGCCCCAATATGTAAATCAACAGCTTCTCCTGAGATTTTCTCTCTGTTCCGTTATTTGTTTTTAAAAGCATTCCCCTGCTTCTTCAAAATTAGTCTGAAGAAAACCTTTAGCATTTTTAGTAATTAGTACTGTAAAAAGAACAGAAAACRTAGCAAGCAACTGCCATTTCCCTTCCTGCAGCTGCATTCAAATTTAAAAAAAAAATAAATAAATAAAAGCAGGGGGAAATAAAGAAATCTGGTGCAAGGCTGGCAGAGAAGGCACATTCTGTGCCAAGCAGTGTACAGCCCAGAAACTCTGACTGACACCCTCACACCCAGCTGAGTTTACAGCATTTGGCTACACGTCAATGCAAAGGTAACCCTGAAGCTCTCCTTTGCCACACCAGTACATGGTTTTCCGGACTTCTTGTAGCTATTCCAGTGGAGCATTTTCTTTCCCTCCTCTTTTGCTCTTATTAGATCTAATTGTCTAATCCATACTTAAAAGCTGTTTCTTAATTCCATAGCAAATCTTGATCCAGAATAGGTTTGCAATACTTAAATCTTTTCATACCACTGACCACCATCATTACCCAAAATGATCTTTGTAATTGATGTGGAACTGAAATACATCAGCTTCCCAAGACAGTAATTAAGCAAGGAYTATCTAAAAATCTCCATACCAGGTGCCTATAGTATCAATGCAGAAAAAGTCTTGTAAAAAACACTTACCTGTATTCTCTGATTCCACAAATAAGCACAATCTTTTTTCCCCAAAAGTGATTTGTCAACCCCCKTAGCCCTTGCTTTCCAGAATGCCCAAATTTTGCAGAAAATCTCCTCCTGGGAGCTGCTGGTCACCGTTTCCATCAATCTCCCCAACGGCTCAGAGCAACAACAGCCTGGTTTCCAAATCATGAGACTTTTGGAGTTTGTTGCCTCAACAAAGTCTCTGTCATTCCTGGGGCATTTGAGGACAATTTCTAAGAATTGTGCTAATTCCTCCATGGACAGCCTACAGCTCTTGAGTGAGGTTTGTCATTTCTATACTTGTGAAAACTTWCACTAGTTGTTCTCAGTCCTACATGCCATTTATGCTAAAAAGAGAAAATTACAATGGAGCTGCATATTTATTTCAGACGTTTTTACTTGAAGCTTGGATACGGTAGCAACTTCTTTGTTCATACTCCCAAATTTCTTTCCAGAGAGAAATCAATGCAAACAATCCTTACTTTTGGCTTCTCTGAGAGCCACATCACCACTGTTTTTATTGCCGTCTGTTCCTTTCTAACACCTCCACTTCTACCAAATAAAAATCAGCCTCTGGCACAGCTCAATCCATACAGCTCAGCTTCTGTTCAGCACTTCATGTGGACAGTGTTCTCACAAGCAACTCACTTATTTTACTTCAAAAAAAAAACCTGCTTTTTATTGTRTCTTCACTGAAAGGTACTCAAAGCACCATCTCCCATAAAAATGTAGCCTGCTTCTGTATACCACTATAGATAAATGACTGATCAGAGACCAACAAAATAATTTTCTGTTGGTAATTTTTCTAAATACAATTAAAAAACAGTCCAAGTACATTACCACCTTCAGTCTCAAAACCATGGCACTGATTTTGCTGTGCAGTGTTCCCTATGACTAGCACAAGTGTAAACTTCATCTTATTACCCTCCATGGCACTAACACAAAAGGAGTACCAGAGAGCTTTCCTGGTGTAAAGTTTGGATCAAGCAGCAGCCTACCATTCACCTTCTGCATGGGTATAGATAACTCCCTTGATTCTCTACACAAAGTTCAAGAAACACCCAGCTAATCCCATCAGTGGAGCAGTTAGATGATGTCCAAAGTGGTCCCACAAAGGCCTAGAGGGCAGCCAGCCTCCACCCAGCTGCCACTGAGATCTAGTGGAACACACTGGATCAGCCTGTTGAGTTCAGCTCCAGAAAATACCAATCATTTGACAGCTTCCCATAGCTCCATGAATGTAAAAGGTGACAATAGGAAAAGCAGCACAGAGTTACTGCTCTCATGCAGAGACCTTTTGTAACAAGTTTCATCCTAAAATAAGGCTTTGCATTCAAGTTATAATAGATAACAATGTATACATACAATGAATCAGATATTTACCATGGGAAATACTAATAAAATATTGACCCAAATTCCATGATCAGCTGTGTTCTAACRAAGGATACAAACAGATGACTGGTATCACATTAAAAAACAAAGAAAATCAAAAGTGCAGCAGTCGCTACCCTATTAGCATGAAATTAAAGCATCTGAATGCWTAATTAACTGAAAACATTAGGGATTCATTTTTAGAGTCCAAAGAATTCCTTAAATTAATGTCTTTTAGGCAATTTTTTCTGTCACCGTGAAGAGTTCTCTTCACTGCAGGTTAATACTTTGAAGTTAGACAACAAACTAATGTAAGTCGATACATGAACATAGCATAGAAAAATAGCTGCAAAATGCTATCAACATATTCACATTCCAAGTTCCATTTATGTCTATAATTAAAAATATAAACAATCATAATTCTTGCATAAGATAACAAGAAATTAAGCATACATACAAAATACAAAACTGTAACAGAATGCTGCCAGTGTTGCATATGTTATACACAAAAACATAGGATGATAATGCTTAGTACTAGTGTAAGATATATTAAAGTTGATTCCAGCTATTGCACTATTTCATAATATAAGCAATTTCAGCCTCAAACTCTGGCAGAAATACAGTGAGTGCAACATTACATCATCTTATTTCAAATGTACTTTAACATGATTATGTTTGTATTTTCACAGATAAAGCTGAACAAATCAAGGGACACTTGGTTTTAAATCATCCATATGCAGGGTTTGTTAAACTATTTTTAAAAGAAACAATGTAAACAAAACATTTTTTTCACTATGAAGTTTCTTAAGGCTCATTACAGTAGTTCTGCATGTAATTTACATTAATCTCAGTGGGTTTTGTGGGTCATTCACACCAGAAGTAAGAGACAAATGATCTTATTATAAGAAAATGAGTTTTAACTACAAAACCACCAAAATCAGCCTTATTCACAAAACAATCAAAYCTACTTTCAGTTATTTTTAATTGATTATGTCAAGGATTTTCATACACGAGTTCCTACAGTGTCTTGCCCTCCCTGTAACATCAAATAACAAATTCAGGGGTGGCAGGGGGAGAAATTAATGAGACTGAAGTATGAAAACCAGGTAAATTTCCAATAGTGATGATGTCCCCACTTATTTCCCCTCTCTGGATCTCTTGTTTCCTTAACCCATTTTTTGTTTTCTTTACACTTAATAAGCCAAGGTATTAAAAAAGACCAGTCAAACCTCACTTTTGTCCTAAAAATCTTGATTCTTCAAGTTGTCATTCCTATTGCAACATCTTTCATTTTAGCCTGATTTTTAAAGGAAACTCTGGCTGTACATCTGTGCTGTCCATACAGAAGCAAGGACATTTATACTGAAAAGTTTTCCTAGAACTTYTGAATTTAAGTAATTGCAATTAAAATTAGGCTAACAACTCAAAAGAAATCGAGTACCTACAACTTTGAGGAGAAGGTAACAGGTGGAAAAAATGCTATTTGTACTTTAAAGATTTATGCAAGCAAGAATCAATTTATGCATAATCAACATCAGGCACTGGGGAACCCACCTGGGAGAACACCATCAGGAATTGATCTTCTGCAGGGAAGGCTTCATATGAGCTGTAGAATTTAGAAACTAGTAAGGCCACGGGAAACAAGGCTTTACTGACCACGCTGTTTGAAGAACTATTTATAGYACAATATCTACAATATCCATATCTGATGTTACATCATCTTTAATCTGTGGATTTCTTCTTCCTTACAACTGAATTGTCAGATTCTGCTAGTTGAATATACTTCAGAAACTTTTTAGACACTGATATGCATCTTTTCCCCTGCATCTTGTTTTTCTGCATCTGTGCATTTTGTTCTTCTATGTCTGCTTCAGTCCCCTTGGAAGGCAGAACATGCACCACAGGACTCATTTTGATGACTTTTGTGTCCCAGAGACCCCCAGGCTAGCTCATCTCTTTTTACAATGAATGCAAACAAACCATGAGTTAACAGACAGCTGCAACATCCATCCAAAAGAACAGCCTTTAAAAATATTGTTTACTTGTCTGAACAGAAGATATCCTCCTACCCTTAAAAATAAGCAACTGATTGATAGGTAGGCAAAAGCATTTGCTTTAACAGAATCAGACTGACATCAGTTTTCATGTTCTCTGCTGTCTGAACAGTATCAAACTGATCAGATTTGTAATTCTACTGAAGCACATCAGTGCAAGCAAAAAAACTGTAGCACTTTCCTACACTGAACTTGATGATTTGTCCAGTGTAAGCTAGTGAATAACAAATTCAACTTCAGTAAAAATGCATCRTATAAACTGTATTTTCCAGCTTCTGAAACACAGAAATCATCTAGCTTGTTAAAACAACTTCATTTGGCAGAAAGATGAGTACAGACAGGAAACAGCTGCAATTTACCCAACTGTCACTCCTTTTTTTTTTAATTGGTTGTTGCAGAATGCCCGCTCAGGCCAAACAGTTCACCAAGAAGGCATCAGGCAATAAAACTCACAAAAATACACCAGTGCAACTGGCAACCACTGGTGCCACAAATGGCATTTCTAGGAGGGAGGAAAACCTTAGAAAGACTGTATCTAATCTTGCAAGCAAGATGATCACAATTTATGCCTCATTTTTGAATCACATGCAAATGAGATCACATGAGTAGGTATGCCATTCAACCTGACTCCCAAAATCAGCAGATCTACAATGCATATAGCAAAGATGTATCTGCATCTGGCAAAATCTGACAACATTTAGTTTTGCACAGATACTGATTATGTTTTCTTTTGCTGTACATGCATAGGTCTTTTCCTGAGTTTGATACTTGTCAGATCTGTCACATACTGTAAGGAGAGACCCTCTGCACTTTTCAAAACTTTGTACTGCACTGACACACAATTTTTGAACCTGAGAACAGCTCGATTCTAGAAAYTAATTTAAAATAAATGTTATATGAACAGTTTTAAGACACTTGTTTTATTCTTCCTTATAAAAGTAAAAATTCAACTTTGCATACACTTAAAATGATAGAAAATCACACTTCCCRTCTCTCAGGAAGCCATTTCAAAATAATATAGAACAGATTTGAAAAACCTGTTCAACCCAGTCTGTTTTCTACTATGCGTGAAGTACTGTATGTGGGAAACATGAAAGACGCATTACAAAGAGTTTTGCTACTATCTCATTAAATTAGCATCAGTGCATAAAATAACATCCAACATACATTTTTGAGACACTCTGTATTAGGAAAATTAACCAACTCCTGAAAAACTTCAAAAACTTTCGAACAGTCTACAACCCTTTATGCATCTGTTATCTCAAATTAAAAAACGTAAAAATCATCCTAGTCTGCTTTAGCTGCTTTTCTAGAATATATCAAGAAAGGTATGATCTCATGGTCTGAGTATRAAACAGGAAATCAGATCTTACACAATTATGTGTCAAACTACACTATGAGAACTAAACAAATTTTACTGGTCTTCCCCCAGTACAATGGAAATAAATTAATTTACACTTAATTGATCAAATCTGTTTAATTAACATAYGAGAATATATGAGACATTTGACTTCTGGGACTGAGTTTTAGAGAGCAGTAAAGCACATGTTTAGCTACATGCTAAAACCAATTGAAACACAAAGGCAGTGCTAGCTACTGAGAAACTCATGACTGCAAAATTTTTATTACTGGRTAATTTATCTAGTCTTGCTAGAAAGTGGTTTCGGGTAAAACAGAAACCAAAGGACATACATTAAAAATCGTAAGCAATAAGTAGCCAATTCTCCCTAAGTAAACAGAACTTGTACATCTTGCACAATTCATAAAATTATGCATATAGTTTCAAACACTATGCAGAGGTGAAAGACGAACTACTGATAAAAAAAATTATAAGCTGGTCGAGCCCAGTGACCAACCAAAAGACCCCAAATAAACAAACAAACAAAAACAGTTTAATTGAAGCAAGATATCTAAAGCTGCACAGACAGTAAAACCAAATAAAGTGCAAAAAAAATCTGTAAACTATCAAAGRAAATATTACAATTGGCTTTACCTCAGTTTTTAAATCAATTTAAATCACCCACAAGGGTGTTTCTATACATTTTAGAATAATAACTAATATTCAAAAAGACACCATTTTTTCAGGCCCCAAGTGACATGAGCTTTTCCTTCAAATCAACATCTAATATTTACAGTCAATTAAATGGAAAATGAAAAATTAGCAGATGAACTCCTAAGGGTTATTAAGTATATGCTGGCCTCATATATTCAAATCCGTGTTTGCTCTGGTTTTTCATAGAAATATCTTCATATAATCTTCAACAGCAAAATTAATCATGCTTTCTAGCAGGCCATTATCAACAAACTCCACCATGAGAGAGAAGAAACAATGCATTGAGAACAGGGACTGCAAAATAGACTCTGACTAGAATACCATGTTTTTTAACATTATTTCTTCCCAATCTCTCGCATTTGCCATGCGACTAGTACAATCAACTTCACACTGCTTGGAAAAACTTATTAATATAAAAATGTCAAAAAAATAACAGTTTTTAATGCATGAATTGCCTTCTTCTGGCAAAAGGATGACTACTTCTGGTATTTTTTGCAGAAAAGCTTCAACATTGTTTGCCACATTGGTCCTTTTACCTTCCATCAGCATCTGCAGTCAGGTACTGCTTTGGTCAAAGGTCCAGTGTTTTCTTTAAACTTCATTTTAAGAGAGGAGGCACAAACTCAGAGAAAAGAGCTGTAAGTCCTGCAGTTTCAAATTCCTTTTGTAGCTCCTCCAGTGTTGAATATTCTTTGACTTCAAACGTCTGAAACCTACATTGTAAAAGGGAAACTCATGAATATGCCTAGATTTGTCAGAATGTAATTATCGATTCTGTTACCTTTTTATCCACAACAGTACTAAATTATACCTTTTATGCTGTGACTGTACTTCTGTCTCACACAGTACACTCATCATTTTTTCTTTGCATTTCTTTCCACTTGAGTCCACATCTACCTTAGAAGTTTTCTGAAGAATCAAGTACTCCTAAATGACAAAAAACATCCCAAAATATTAAATGTCACCTAGTATTTTCAAAGTTTAGTAAAATGCAAAAGCTCATTCAAAACATATAGCCTGTTTTCAGAACACAGCAATCAAACTATGAAAGTGCCCATCCCAAAAAGTGCCCAACCACTTCTACTCATCTGTTTTAAGTTATGCCCAGGCCTAACTGACTTAGAGAACATGAGTTAGAAAAGCCAAAACATTCTCCTCCAACAATACTAAAAAATCCCACCTAATCCAGTGGGAGTTCAGAAGTACTGACAAGAATTTCAAAGTCCAGGCATGCACTAGGGGCACCATGTGGTTCCAAGCCAATGAAAGAGACAGTTAGCAATGAGTTAAAACCATTATCTGTTATTAATTTCTCACCACAAATTTTTCCACTTTCTGGGGCATCTGGGAAATATAGGAATCTGAATTTAGGTGTATKAAAGTCAGGAAACAAAGGGATACAGGGGTATAATTACAGTGGGAAGCAAAGCAATACAGGCCACAGGTCTAAACTTATCACTGGTTTCTTTCTCATAGAATACTTTCTTTTTCTTAAATATAGAATAAAGTGGTTGGGCCTTTCTACTCTCATAATGATCAATTTGCTTCCAAAATTGTTAATCTTAGAAAAACACACACAAAATATTCAGACACGTAGGTTTCAGTGGTAAATCGATAGAACTAGTCAACATTCATTGTTCCCRCACCTTAATGCTGCTCCTGTCACCCTGAAGAAGAATCAATATTATCTTGCCCATGAACATCAGTCTTCCAGTCAGCCTTAGATTTGAAGCCCATTTTTCCAGAGTTTTCACATATTTTGCCTTTGCTCTCATGTGATCTAAATGCAAAAGGAGCATCCAGATACCATCTTCTGTTCTTTTTGACAAAGTAGTTTTTTCATTGGAAACTGCTGCCGATTGCTTAATGACATCTTTAAGATGCTGCTGAAGCCAAAGAATGAGATCATGTACCATGGGTTCAGAGAGATGCTTCTTTGCTTGTTCAAGTAATTTATCTTTCACCTCCACACACTGGGCCCTTGTAAGCTGGTCTGAGTTAACAGAAATATTCGGTACAGTTGATGGGTAATTGACTGGTAMATGAAACAACAGCTTTAAAAGTACATCTGTAGCCAGTAGTTCTTTCACACAGACTTGAATTCTAAATGAGATTCCATGTATCTCTGGAAAATATAAAAAAAAAATAAACATTAACAGTTTGGTCAAGTTGAAATACCTATATATTATTAGAGCATGTTATTTTCTTTAACAATTCAACTCAAAATAACTGCCATTTCCKATAAAATAAGAAGGGGGGATTTTTTTTGTAAGGTGGGGGCTTTCAACCACCAGTGGCTCAAGCTATACCTGCAGGGAATCTTGAAATGAAACACTTCTATAACACAATAGAAGGAAAGTTATTAACACATTCTAAAAAGCATTCCCACCTTTTGGTTCTTTCAAAGTCTAGACAAGCCAGTAATAAAGAATTGTCTCTCTCAAACACGTAACTCAGCTTCTATAGCTCAACAGCAAAAGCAAGGACAATTGAACATARAGACTTTTCTGGATGGAGTCATCACTGCCCTAAGTTTGCTCCTGAAGAAATCTGTACGACTTCTAACATCAATAATRATGCAAGGTAAACAGACTTGCACTGGGTATTTTTAAGACAATCATTCAAAAGCAGTTCCACACTAAGAGGAGACTTGTAAAGAAAAAGGTCCAAATCTTTGTCCGCTACAACTTGAAAATACACTTGAATCTTTTCTGTCAACTCCCCCRTAACAGTTGAGATTGACATAAGGAAAACATCTCTGTTAGACACCTGACCCTATATAAATATGCAGGTACTCATATAAATGTATGTTTATGTATCTGCTCAAAATCTGTTGCAGGTCTGCTCAAGAATAAGAATTATTTTCAGAGTGAAAAGGATACACACAACATGCAGCAGGAAAGGCTAAAAATCACATCATCCTGATACATCACACAATCAAAGATGCTTAATATAAAAGTTTTGTACAGTAATTCATSAAATAAAACCTTCTTAACTAAAAGTTTCACAGAAAAAACAATACAAAACTTGAAAAAGTGAAAAGCGGGGACAAAGGCCTAACCTACTTTTGCTCCTCTGCTATGAAGTAAGAGGGTATCAATCAGATAAAAGATGATCTTCTTCAGATCTTCTCTGCTTCACCCCTTTGATGCATCCTAAACACTTCACCCCTCTTCTTTCAAAAATTGCTAAAATGTCAGGTTGATTCATTCTGTGAGTGCAGGAGAAGCCAGATTTGAAAGGCAGATTAGAGCAGAACTGAGTTTCAGAGCAGCTCTTTTGAAGTGACTTGGGCTCTCCCCCCCGCACCTTACCTTACCTTCCTTTACACGACAATCAGTTGAATTATGTTTGATTAGTACTGCTGATGCCACTAACCAACCTCTCTGATTTTGTAACTGAAATCTACTAAAAAAGTGAAAGAACCTAAAAGTGACTTGGACAGAAAAGTACTTGACAGAGTTTATGCAAGGGCTKGCTTCCAAACCTCCTTCCTGGATCGTACAAAGAACTCTCAAGGTCAGAGAAGTCACAAAATAAAATCAGCAAACCCTCCAAATCCAATAATCAAATTCTAGAAGTACCATAAAGCAATCACCAAACATCTACAAACCATCACTATCCAAGACTGAAATTCAGTGCTGAAAGCAGTAGATGCAAATCCAGTAAATTTAATGAAATCACACCCAACCATACCCATACTCACAGGTACCACAACTCAAAAGTGGCATTTTGTGCCAAGAGAAACAAAATCTTCAATCCTCCAAGATCATACCAAGGGTTCCAGACTATTTTAAGGCAAATGTATTCCTCAGAAAAACACCAGCCTTGGAAGAGACCCTTGCATGTGGTCAGTAGCTACAGAGGAGGATCTTAACCCTTCCCATCCCAATCTCTGTCTTCTGCTGCCCTGACAAATGTTTCCTCCTGGGCCCTAGCCATGGTAGCTCCTCTGCCATTACGCCGGGCTCAGCACACACACTCACAGACACAGGCAGAACACCCTGCACTGCATGTCCTGGGGCCCCCAGCACTCTCCTGCTATCCCGGAGGTGTCTGCACACTCGAGCACTGCACCACACACAGTGCTGCTGCCTGGGTCCCTCAGCTGCCCCTGCTCAGGGCAGCCCCAGCAGCTACACAGCAAGCTGCAATCTGGCTGAACGGGATAAGCATTATTGGACTGCCCGCAAATCACTTCATTTTAAACTATGTTGCCAAGAGATGTTAAAATCCACAGCCTATATAAGTTGAAAAATACTACTCTATCGCCAGATTAATTACAGTGACACAAAAACATGTTACCTTTCTGATAATCCTCCTAGGATTGTTTCACTAGCTTGTCACAACAGATCTCACCAACTCAGAAGTAACCGAGGGATAGACAGGCCAACCCTGCCCCTTTGACAAGGGCCTCCTGCTGCACTGATCTTATTCTTAAGCCTGCAAAAATCTCACACCTTTCCTTGTGATGATGAACTAATCCGAAGGAAGCAGAACAGCCTTGCATCCCAAGGTGTATCACCCCCAGCCATCCAGAAAAGCCCAGCTGCGCTCATTTACATCTGCTTCAGACTTACTTTTAAAAAGAAGAATCAGTTCAAGACCTTTGCAGGGCTACAGCATCTTAAATTTACTTAAACCTTGCAGCGTCCATTTTCTGCACCAGCACTGCAGACACTGGCAGAACAAAGAGCAAACCAGCGGCGCCCTGCACAACCTGGCTCCAAATAAATATTTCCTTTGTTTGCACATGCTACAAGGGCCGAGTTGTCTTCACTGCAACACACTGATTATTTCTGAAATAAAAGGTTGGGTATGACTGTTCTGCTGGCATTTAATGTGCTAATCAGACCAAACTCAATACATTTTAACTCCTTTTCCCCTATAGCTGCATGCTTATCAGTATATTTAGCTCTAGCATACTTTAGATTTTTTCTTATGTTCCATGTCAACCAGACAGATATCCCCCTCCTCTCCTGCCCAAAGGCATTTTATGCAACACATGCAGTCTATTTTTAAATTCAGAAAATGGCACCTACTAACGTACAAGCTTAGAATATCTAAATATATTTTTATAGCAAGCTTGGTGAAAAGACCAAAAGAGAGCAGATTAACAATTAAATTATGGATTTCTATCTGTAACGCTAATCTTTGCAAATAGATATGTAAGGTAAAAAAGATATGCTGTAATTAGTTTATTTAAATTCATCCACACATTGGTTTTGACAAAAACACATTTTACATTCTGAATACTTCATTGTTAAATTCCAAAAAGCCAAAGTTTTTACCATACCAAGAGACCTGTAAAAGCATTGTCTTACATTCCTGAAAACCATGAATCCCCAATGGCCTCCTTTTTGATCCCACGGATCTACACACAAATTACTCTTAATGTCTTAGAGATTGCATAACATAACAGTCTTCCAGGAAGTTATGTATGCGCACCATTTGTCAATGACAATTTATATGGTTTGAAGAGATAAACCAAATGTAGGCTAATGGCTACAGCAAAAGGTAATTGTACACAGACTAGAGAATTCTGCAGCTTCAACAAGTAAATTCCAAAAGTAAGAAAAATACCAATAATCATTATTGGAAACAATCTTCTCAATTCCTGCAGAAAACTATGGAAATCAACCAAATATACATGATCCTATCACAAACACAGCCTGGTTAAAGGCCCTCCAAGGTCACATAACATCAATATAAATAAAATCTCCTGTTCCCATTGTGCACTTGTGGCATCTCACTTTATGTTGCAGAAAGGTTTCTAAACTTTTTATATTCTGGCAACCTGTAAACACAAAATCATTTTTCCTTATATGAGGCAAAGAGAAGAACGTGCCTATATTTCTCAACAGATTTGGAGGAAYAGACGTGTATACGCAATGTTCTGAATATGCGCACGTTTTTTAAAATTAACATCTGATAAGCCTGGATATTGCTTTTTCAAACTATGCCCAAAATACCATTTTTGAACTTTTTCACTTAAAAATAAAGCTCAGTTGAAACATTTCATCAATCATTTTAAAAATACAACCCTAAATACCAATTACAAAAAAAAATAAAATGGCAGAATTACATGCCCAGACTGGAGCAGGAGGTGCGTCATGCATATCTCGATACAAAATTCTAGTTTTAGAYGTCTGCAGTTAATTGTGCTTGCTGCAGGTACTAATGTCTTCGTTCAACCTCTCTCCCTGCACAGTCACCTACAATGCAACAACTGCCCAGGCCAATATCCAGCTTTTCTGARTATCTCCAGTGAGGGAGACTTCACGAGCTCTCTCGGCAATCTCCAGCACCGAGTCATCCTCACAGTAAAAATCACAGTTCTTCAGGGCTCAATACATACATGTGCAGACAAAATCTGACAGCAGGCCACTATATCCATCTTTAGCAGCATTCCCCAGGACTTCACCACAGTCCTACCAGCGGGAAGCTGCTCCTTGCCCATTACTCCGCTGGGAGCTGGGCAGCACCCTGCAATAGCTCCCGGGACACAGTGACCTGTAGGCAACATAGGCATTTAGGCACAATGTAGGCATTTTCTGTGTGTATGTGCATGTCTATCTGTCTCCAACAARTATCTAAGAGTTGTCACACCTGTGGTAAGCACTAAGCAAAATTTACTAAAGGTCTGGATCTGARCAGACACCAACACTTGCATATCCCAACTGACATTTATGCCTGACAGTAGCTGCTATTGTACACTGATCTACTGAGATTTATTCGCCCGTGCTGAAGGGCCATCTTCACAGCACTGTACAGCACGGACTGATAAAGGCCATCTCTTAATACTATCTTCACATCAGCGGCCACCACGAAGGCATCTACACTTCCTGCATTCCTTGCCTACAGCATCCAGCAGCTGACAGGAGCAAGCACTACAAACCTGATCATTCCGTTTATAGCAGACACCACACATCAGCCTCAGTACCTTATAAAACCTACAGCCGTAAACATCCTGCTGAAGAACATCTGGCAAGTCACAGTACCCACCTTATCACCTTACCCCAGAAAARCAGACATGACCCAACGCGCCTCCTGCCCTGCAACAGCTGTACGCCTGCTCTGTATTGTCGGATAAATACCTGGTCCTATTAACGCGTACAAGATTCACCTGCGTGTCTACCTGGAAAGCAGCCAGCCCCTTTTCAGCGCTGCCCTCGCCGGCTCCCAGGGCCTGCAGGGCACTGAGAAGGTCCCTAACTCTAACGGAGCAGGGCCCGCTGGGCTCCGTGCCCCACGGCAGGCCGGCAGCAGTGTCACCCRGCGGGGCAGGGACACGCCACAAGCGACAACAGCGAGCGACCGAGCCGGAGGTGCCCCGGGGGCTGAGCCCCGCCGCCAGCGGCCTCGGAGCGCTWCCTCCCGGGGCTTTGCCGGGCCGGGCCGCCGCGCGGGCAGCGGGAGAGCCCGGGCTGGGGGCACAGAGCGCGGCCGCCTCACCTGAGGCCGCCAGCACCTCGCAGGCGCCCGGCTCGCAGTAGATGGCGGCGAGCGCCGACAGCTCCTCCCGCGCCAGCTCCGACATGGCCGCCGGCGCGCGCCCCGCGCCCCCTGCCGGCCGCGAGGAGGCACCATGGCCGCCAGGGGGCGCCTCCGCCGGGCCGCGCCGCAGCCAGGAGAGCAAAATGGCCGCGCTGATCGGTCCGGAAGGGATGGCCTGTCCCTCTGCCCTGTCCCTCCGCCCTGTCCCTCCGCCCTGTCCCTCCGCCCTGTCTCTCTGTCCTATTCCTCTGCCCTGTCCCTCCGCCCTGTCCCTCTGTCCCTCCCTCAGTCCGTCCCGGTCCCGAGGAGCGCTCGCCTTGTCCCTCTGTCCCGGGGTGCGGAGGTTGTGCGACGATCCGACCCACAGGGAGGAAGAGCCGGCTCGGCCTCGGGCTGTACACGCATCTGCACACACTCCTGCCCAAAGAGTTACTAAAATATTAAGTTATATTCAACTATCGTGGCTTCACAGTCCTGTTACCAGCCCTCGCACCAAGGTTGTGCACTGCCAACAGTACCATTAACTCCCAGGCAAAATCATTCGGTATCTTCTGCTATTACAGAATCATTTTTCAAAGCAAGGGCCGGGGCGATTACTTTTCAGGAGCGTTTATCCTGCCCCGTTTAAGCCCCAACTTGTGTTGAAATAACAAGAACCACAAGTGCACCGAGCAGGGGTGGAGGGAGCAGCACTGCCAGGCTGCTGTCAGAAGGCTGAGGTGGAAATTAGCCTTAGAAGTGCCTCCATTCTATTATTAAGRACTTCCTTGCCCCTGGTCTTTCCCCCTTCTCATCCACTTTGCATATTCCATTTTACATGTTTAAATAAAAAAGTYGATGTAAATGTCTTTTGAATTGACACTATCACAAGACATGGAGGTCTCTATGAATAAGTTACTGCACTCTGACATTTGGAAGTCATCAAATGAGACAGTATAATGTCAGCTTGATATTTTTCACTCTATGAAAATATCAGCTTCATGTCAAAGATCTAAATTCCATCTTAATGTAATAAGTTTTCTTGTATTCACAGACAACTGAAAATGCTAAATATTTAAATTTGAAACGAGTTTCTACAGTTACAATCTGGCCTTCATATTCCATTATTATGAAATTGAAAGTCAAGATCTTATTTCCCCTCTTCCTTTTTTTATTTCTTCAAGCATTGCAGTGTTTGATAGGACATGATCCATATTCTCTAAATGGATACTTCCCCATCAATATGTGTCAAATAGAAAAGTCTCGCTCTTTAGAGTCAGCCTGTATTAAACCAGCTCTAACATGCTGTCACAAAGCGATTGTGCCACCAGTATCTYCCACTTTGCCTGACAAGGCAAACAGAACACAACCTTTCATACATAGGTAAGATTAATCTTCCCAGTGTTATCTGCAAAAGCTCTATCCTTTGCCTTCCACTCACTGTAATTACAGTCTCAATTAGGTGTTGTTTCAACAGCCACTAGTGAATATATACGAAACTGTGCTTTTAGACCAGTTTTTCCCTAACCTGAGTGACAAATCAAAGGAGGAGCAGAGAGACACTTGGAAAAAAAGTCAATTTGAAACAACCATCTATATCTTTTTACTGTCATTTCCATGCCAGCCCCTTTGCCATGTCCTCAATCACAACTGCAGGCAGTTCTAAAAGCACACACTCCAGAAGGCATTAAAGGACTACTAGGAAGTCTAGAAATCACTGCAGTTGCCCATTTTGGGCTCTCAAGACAAACATTAACACAGACCCCTCAACCACAGGAAGGTGATGCCACACAAACTCTCTCCACCTTCTGGCACTGCTGCAGGACAGCTGCATTTCTCCTGTTTTCTGATACAACAATGTCACTAGCTCTAATGCAGCCAGAATGGCATTCTCACCAGTCAGAACTGTCCTTACTGGAGTTAAATAGCACCGCTTTTTCAGAGACCTAAGAAAGAGGCTACCATTTCTCTAATAACAACTGAAATATTATTGCAATGGTAGAAGTCTTCCCCAAAGTGGCTTGTACCAAAATGGCAGAGAGAAACCAACAGGAAACGTGTAAAAATATTTCCAAATAAACTAAGAGGCAAAAGCTTGAAGAAAACAGAAGGAGAAAATACATGATAAAACATGGAGGTATTTGTCCCCTGTTTTTCTCAAGTACAGCTAGTGGAAATGTTTTGGGGTTTTGGGTTTGGGGTTTTTTGCAGTGTTTCTTTTACAGTTGAAAAAAACTCATCTAACAAAAAATTTACATTGCAAATTAAAGCTGCCAAAATTCGCATAATTTGCTGTAAGGTTAAATTCAGCATTTTCATGACGTTTTGCTTTTCAGTTTTTGAAAATTAGATAACAAACTCTCATTGATATCTAAAAAAAGACCTCTAATTTGAGAAAAAACAAAACAGAGGGAAAGCCTTTTCTATTACTTTTCCTTGTAAGTATTTTAGAAGGAAGTTTTTCAAGGATCTGTGATCTAGCAGTGCTTTTTAAAAGCACTTGCATTTATCCTCCATGCATCAAACTGCTCTAAGTCAATTCCCTGAGACACTTAATCTTTTGGCAGATGGAAACTCATTTTGAAAGTGTACTAATGATCAATTAAAGCATTAGCTATCTCTGCAGACAGGAGGTTTATGGGGTCATATTCTTCAGAAGCTGGAGGCAAGAATGGCAGAATGTTAGCAAAATACTTAAAACTTTCTGTAGTTACCACAAAATTGGCACAACATTGAAAATAAAAAACATGACATGCTTTTTTTCAATAATATGTTGAAAACAAATGTGATGGTTTGTATTTTRTGAGAGAGGCCATGGTCCAAACTGAACATCAGCAAAAGAAATTTTGTAATCTTTTAAATTTTCTTAATGAAGCCTAATAGCTATCCCAATACTTCCAGTAAACTTACGTAATCGGACTCCAGTCAAAAATACATACCCATGCTGCAAATATGCAGACATGCATTGTGAGGAGCTGCCATCAGAATCAGTGGCTCACTGGTAAATAATGTGTCATTTCACACATGCTCAAGGGCCCACAATTAGGTTTGGAGACAAGTCCTCTGCCCAGAAGTTTCTATGCAATTTGATGTACAAGTAGTGAGACCAAATCTAGCTGTCATAGTCATAAAAGAATATAATGTTCTTCTTCTAGGAGTTTGACACACCATTTTTTTCTTGAAGGAGAAGCCTAAGAACTGATTAGCCATCTAATGCAAACTAAAAAGGTTGCTTTTTATGACATGACATGTCTAGTATGACCTAAGAGGTTCCTAATACTAACATTGATGAGAATCAATACTTACATGGTTTACTGCATAAAGACTTTGCATGCAATTTACTTTGTACAAAGGTAGAGTAATAAAKAGAACATATTTCCTTTCAGTGAGAGTAAAAAGAGCTTTCCTTTCAGTGAGAGCATAAAGTTGCCTACTACAAATTTGTAAAAATCTAGCAATCCTCKGCATTTTGAAAAAAGAACATATGTAAATATACTTGTGGATACTTTGGTAGGGAAGGCTATGATGCTGAAGACATAAACACATCTAGCATCAAGTTGTATATTCTGTCTTCAAAACTTTCAACTWAAACATCAAGTACATCTGCTCGTAGATTCCCCTACAGGCATAAGCAAAAGGAGACAGAGAATTAGTGTGCCATTTAATTTAGTAAGTGTTGGGAACAGATATCTTTAAAAAGTGGTGATTTTGAAACAGGCATTCCTACCCTCTATAAAAAACAAACTTTAAGAGAGTCCAAATATTAGGCAGTGCTTCTTAGTCTACCAGTTCATTTTTAGGTGCTGAGATACAGCAATGTATCTGTGTCTCCATCTTTTGCAATTTGGCAAAATWAGCTACTCTTCCCCCATACTTTGATACAAGAGTAGAACAAACACAATGGGAGTGCAAAAGATGACAGACTATTTATGATCATTTTCAGAGCACTGAGAGGTCCTTTGCCACTCGCACACCTTTTAAAAGCAGAASAGTATTCATCAGCACATTTGAGACTTCAAATTTAGAGAGCACATTAAAGTCCTGATGGTAAATACATTATGTAAACACTAGACAGCATTTCACACTACACTAGCACACCTCTTTCACCTCGTAATTCAAAAGTGGTAATCCAGAACACTTTTCTCTGGCAGTGGAAAGTATCAATGATCAAAGAATGGACACAACTGTCTTCTTACAGCAACACAGTTTCTTTTACAGTAAAGCAGAGCAGAAATTTTAAGTCTTAGCTGAAAATTTCTTAAAGGGATTGAAGCTAGGACCATTGGCATAGTATGAAAGGAAGGAGCAAAGGTGTTTCTAGGGGACAGGGGAAAAAGAAATAAGTAATAACAGAAGAGCTACAACTCCCCTTCCCAAACTGCCTGCGGGGGCAAAATGTTACAGGACGACTCAAGAGGGTCAGGAACTCCAGGCATCCCAGAAAGATAAGCCTCTGAATTACTCCCCAGAGCAGTCATGTTGGCCAGATACTAACAGGACAAACTGCAGAGGAGCAGGGAGCTGGTCCATCGTGACTGAGCAGGGAAGGTGTTGTAGGCACAGCASCAGTCTGGTGCCCCTGTAGAGTGGCAGCAGTGCCAGGCACTCCAGTGCAAGGGAGCCACTGCAACCTGAAGCGACACAACAGCAAGAGGCCAAAAGCCACACCTGAATGCACAACTGCAGGAAATCCAGGTCACTACCACTCCTGACTGCATGTGCATAACCCAAGGCCTGATTACAGCTGGGAGTGTTATGCTGGAGACTTTTTCCACCAGTGCCAGAGACCGCAGTTTCTGGGCACCCCAACATCCTTAAGAACACATCATCAGCAGAGGCCAGAGAACACCCTATTTTCATCTGCAAGAGTCAAACACAATGGGTCAGGCAGGGCTCTGATATGGTTAAGCAGAGCACAGATGAACTTCAGATACCAAAATACAGAACTAATTTTAGAAACAGCCTTTCTTTAGCGAGTGTCTGCATTTCCCCTTTGGAATGTGAACAACGTAAACCTTGGTTTGAGATGTTTGGTTCCAAAATTCTGTGTCACCCTGACTGGGAACCTGATGTCACTGCAGAATTCCCTGAAAGGGCCTGATCAGGATACTACTTCACTTTCTTCAGCTCCATCWACTCTCCATACCTTCCTATACTTTCAAAGAAAGGATATAAATTTGTTATGCATATACATTATTTCTTTTAATATAGGCTAAAAAATATTTTTTCAGTTAAAACATCCTTCCCAAGGATTAAAAAAATGTCAGTTTAAATCACGATTTTTCATCTACGCATCATGCTTCAAGGAATCCAAGCCTAAAATGGAAACCTCTATTTACATCCTTAAGTCTTACTGTTTGTAGAAATTAATTATTTTCATTTACTCTTCTAGGAATGTTTTCTTTTCTAAATTTTCTTGCATTCCTCTCAAGTTAGCCAGACTCATGATGAATATATTCGTTGTCATATGCTATTACYCTGAGAACTGCTGTTTCAGTTAGCTAACATTTGAATTTAGTCCTTGGGTTTTGGTTCTGTATTCACCTGAAAAATGAGTAGTATATATTCAATATATACAACAGTTAAATTGTAGTAATATACAATACATAGTAACAGTATCAAATACACAATGTATAGCAAGATTATAGTTGTAACTGACTATAATCTTAGATGACACACACAAAGCTCATTTTAGTAATTCTTACAGCATGATCACCAAATACCAGTGGTAAGAAAAGTATATTTATTTGATTCTCCTTTTAGTTTGATGAAGTCGTACATTTCATTAACAGTAGCCCAGAAAAGAACAATTTTGAATCTATGGAAGATGGAACATAACAGGAGATAATAAACACATGAAGTGGCTTGTGAGAGTTTCCCCAAATTTAGCAGCAATTACAATTTCCGTAACGCTCTCAACATCACACTGCCAAAATCAACAAAGCAAACCATTTTTTTTAAGCTTCTGAAGTACTCCCTACAGTGGTGTACCCRTCCATACCTAGTTATGAGAAATACAGAATTCTCAGTGTATCAAATTGCTGAATGCATAAACAACCAACTACAAAAAAAAAATTGAAACCCAAACAGCCCACCATGGGAAAAAGCAGTACTCCTCAATCTTTACTGCTAGAACAGAGCAGTTTCTTCATTGTCATGTCTACTTCATCCAAGCTCACACTTTTCATATCTCATATACACATTGCCTACTCAGATGGAGTTTTTTCTTCCCTATTTATCATATATATATATATATATACATATATATATATATGAACCACTGTAAAGGTGAAAAAGGATTAAGCAAAATGATTATGGGTAAAAGCATGGTTTTCCTCTTAGGATTCTGGATATTYATTCCTACCATGCATGACAATTGTCCCTGAAGTGGGAACTATTCATAARCATTAGAATTCTAAAGTAGGAAAGCTTCTCTAATTTTTCCCTAGATGGAAAGTGACATTCCTGAAACATTGAGAGRGGCTTCCTCTTAAAAATAGTTTCCAATTTCAGTTAAACATAAGCCACTTTCAGAAAAYGAAATGTACATCTATAGCTAGATCCCCATTATGGTTGGGGAGTTTCAAGAAGGCAGCTTCCCCCATTTGAAGAGCTACAATGTGATACTCATGCCTTTCCATTCCCAAGTGTTTTGCCAGCACCTGAAACCTACTGAGTCGTGCAAACTTAATGCTGTTACAGTGGAAAAGCTAACTTTAAAACTAAGGTTAGTTTCCCTTATTAAGCACAAACATTAAACAAATCTTTAGGCCATGAATGGCTCTTAGAATAMACTCCAATCAAATTCTCCCTTGGCACTTTTGCTACCCTTTCAGCCTAGTTATATAATTATACACACACTTGTAATACACCTCACTATACTCACATGTGTGACTCTGTAGTCACACCCCTTGTGCAATTCCTTATTAAATAAAAAAAAAGCATGCTGTAATACCATTAATTCAGCCAGGATGCCAAATACAGATGCATTGCATGAGTTGCTTTAAATAAGGCTTAGCCCTGTCCTGAATTCATGACATGACACACATAAAGGACAGGAAAATATTAAAATGACATATTTTCTTACATCAGAAAACCACTTTTTAAATACTCAAATAAATAGCCATTAAATATCAATTTAATGTCCTTTTAGAAATGCTGTTTTAAAAGTGACAATTTCCTGCTTCTAATGATGTTCTGCTCAAAGATAAATTGCAGATTAAGGCATGAGTATATTCTCCTTTTCTACATAACATACCTTTAAAATACTCATACTACACTACACCTCCTTTAACTGATTAACTGACATTTTCTGAGGAAGTATGTATTTGAATAGGTAAAATGTCCATGTGAAAACAAATACGTAGTTTTATAGCATTAATAAAACACCAAATTTGAAGAAGTCCAGATCTTTTACCCTTTATTCATCATGGAGGTATCCAAATATTTTAATTATGTGAAACTACTAAATTTCCAGTTTTCACTAATCAAGTAATACTCAAAACTCCAGTCAGAATCAGAATTGTAATGTATTTGGTGCAGCACCGAACTTAAGAAAAGGCAAGCTTATGCAGAATCTGAGATGAAGTAAGAAAGGTTTCCCATTTCTTAAGAAAATTAAGATACGTGTTTTTGCCACTGTAACTTTATTATTCCATCTGAAACACCACAARGCATTGGTGTACTTCACAAGAGATCTCGCTGGCCTTCCTTCCCACCCCCAAAGAACAGTGGTGATGATGAAAGCAGTGAWAGCTGCAGTGAAGGTCTATCTCAAGTCCTGGGTAATTCTCATGTCCATCTAGGAAGAAAGTGGTTACTTTTCGAGTACACACCAGAGCAGCAGTTAGGAAGTCCAGCGCCACCAGGCCACCTTCACYCTGTCCCAGACGGCCGAGAGCGAGTCCAGCGCAGGGCGCACGTCCAGGATGGTGAACTGGTAGTTCTTGTCCACTGCTCCGCCATCGTAGTAATCGATCACGTAGCGCACCTCCTTCCCACAGCGATCAACTATCCAGTCATGCCGATCGAACGGCAGCTCGTACCTGCAATGGACAGGGAACAGGATATGGAGATACTTTACTGGATATTGTGAACCTGGGAGAGGGAGTCCAATTCAAGATTAATTCATCCATAAGATCCCACTGGTACTTCTATCTTCTGGCAAGTCCACCTTGTAAAACCAGTTCTGAAATATTTTTAAATCAATTCTACACATCTGTTTTTAGACACATCTTGCACCTCCCATCTCCCATCTCAATTCTTTCCTGCCCACATACCCCATCCATGAACGTATTCTGGCTCTTGGTGAGTACTCCTTAGCTTTGCCTCCAAACCGCATCAGCGATGGCCCACATGGACATTCCCTGTGCACAAAATTAAAAAGGAAAATAGTTTTTACCTTTTAAAASAGTCTTATTTTCAGTGATTAAATCACTATGGTAGTTTTAGTAACATAGAAACTGAATAGAAGAATGAGCAACAAAAATTAATTACAAGTGATATAAACCAACTTCTTTTCTTTCTTTAAAGGTTTGAAAAGTCACTCAGTTTCTAATGGTACAATAAAGTATCTCTGATATGCTCCAGGCCATTGCTCTGATTTGTCAACAAAATAGTTCTTGCCAAATCTAACCCACAGATTTAACTGATTAAAGAATAGAAAACCATAATCCAAACTACTGTGTGACAATGATCATGGAATTTTAGAGAAAAATTTATAATACAGAGTGCTTAACTAAGTCTGTCTCTTGTAGGAACAGGAACTATGCTGACCTAAAAAGAGACAGTTTGCCTTATACCAGTCATGTTAATCTAAGTTCACATCGCCTATCTTTGTTATAACATAATGACAAATATTTCATATGCAACATTTCATATGTACGTACATAGCATGTAGAGCTTCCCACTTCAAAATCTCCTTCCAAGCTTGCTCATTATTTTGGTTATGAATCTTAATAATGTTGGTCATGTCTTCACTAGTTATATCATCGTCCTTCCACCTCCACCTAAAAAAAAGGAAAWCAKTTTATAAACATTACAGCATAACTACTCCACTTTTCTCAGTTTATCCAAACTTTTGAATTGAGATTTAAGGTTGTATGCAAGCCACAAGATAAGTACGCAAACTTCTGGCTCATCTACTTAAGCATATTGAGAACCACTTCATTTTCTGTGCAGAAGTGTAGTTATCCAACTTATCATCACAGAGATCCACAAATTCTACATAGCTAAATTAACAGCTTAACTGGGTCAGAATGTTATCAGAGTGTGCAAACATYACCACATCCACAGTATTCATAAAAATGCTTAGGAAAAATCCCTAAAGCACAGAAGTCCTGTATTCAATATATTTTGCAAAAACTTAGAAATACTTTTCATGTCTCTTGACACTGAACTGACTGTATGTATGCTCCCTTTTCAACAGGCATAACATTAACATTATTTCAGTGTTTACAGAACCAAAACTTGTTCCATACAATATGTCATATTGTGTTATGAACCATATCAATACGTAGAAGAAAGAATTACTATTGTTCCAAGAGCAACCACCTATAAAAGTTCACCTGCTTGAAAATGACAAACAAATCCTTACAAAAGAATGAGGAAACCTCAGCACCGGTAAATTATTAGGCCACAGAAGACATTAATCATTCAGCTAGGCCTTGCCTACATTGAATTTCTGTAAATACCAAAAGTATCTACCGGCAAATTTCTCCATTTTTAGCAATTCTATAAAGTTAAGATGTTCTCACATAGAACTTCTACTGTCATTTTATAGGACTAGCATGAAACCAACTGAGTTTGACAGCTGGCAATCATGTAAGCTTTGGGTATTCCTGTGCATTGACTATTAAGAAAATTTTCTGAGCCAGTAGGAGCTGCTTGGCATTTCCCAACACCTTCCTGATCACTAGAAGAGACATGGCCTTTGAAACCAACTCACCTTTAAAATAAGGATGTTTATAAGAATAATATTTTTTTAAAGAGATAGTTGATTGTTTACTGGTTAAAATCCACAAACTCTCAGAAAATAATGAACAGTAACTAATGATACCACCTCATGAACTCTAGGCTTACAGACACCATCTGGTGTCAGTGTATTTACCCTTTTCTTAGCATAGCATTCCAGAACATCTGCTCTGAAGGGTAGACCCATTTCTTATCAGAATGTGCTCTAGGAATGGAAGATTCTTCTCTAACAGTTGACAGTGGAAATGGTTGACCTGGGGATGGCTGCTGATTGGGAGGAGGCATCTAGAGAACAAAGAGAATCAACAACAAACTAGAGTATTGACATTGCTGTAAGTTAGTATTTAAGAAAAATTAAAGCGTAATCAATCAGCACCTACAAAGGTCAAGAAGTCTAGCCTTAAGTCCACTAAAATTATCCTTTTTTGCAGCAGAACTCTTGGCACAAGTTTGTCATCAGAAGGCTAAAGAAATGCTTTCTGCCTTAACTTCAACTTTCAAAAGAGCAGTGCTTTTTGTAAATCAGAGGAAATCTTGGAGAGATGCTAATCAGAACTCACCCACACTGGTATTACACAGAACCTAAAATCTGCCAATGTATCATAAAAAGATATATGTAACTAATAAGCAGAAAGCAAAAGATAATTAAAAACTACCTTTAATCAAAGAGATGCAAATTTGATACACTGTTAAATAAGATGTAACTTGTTTTTAAATAAAAAATTGCAGATAAAAAAAAGAGTTAAAAATAAAAATAATAATGTTATTTCCCAGAGTTTCTACCTTACACAGCAACACTATTTACATTTTTGGTTATAGTATTTCAGAAGTAACTAGACTAAAGAAAACCTCTGAAATAAGCCAAAATTACCATATTGCTGGGATCTATGTCATCTTTCCCTTGAGATGCACCAGACTTCACAGGACATGCTACAAACTCATAAGCTCTTTCTTGATGTGCAGGAACATCATCTGTGTTCTCATTTCTGTGATCAGCAGTCTTCATGTGCATTGGACAACCTTAAACACAAGAGCAGTATACATTTTGCTACAAGATGAAAATGCTAAGACATGACAGGAATTAGAAAAGTTCACTGAGGGCTCACATAAATGCAAATGGCTATTTCACRTTTTCTTCAGAGCTCTACAAGACTTTGAACTGCATTCTCTGTCCTGCATTTTAGGACTCAAAATCATTATAAGATCTGTACTTCCGTGTAGTTTTTGAATGCTCATTACCTAGCCAATGCTGGCCCCTATACTGAACTGTTTGTGCTTAAGATTCCCACGAGAAAAATTTACTTGAAAATTACTTTCCTTAGGTGCAAAACGCAGGTTTCTTTGARGAATTTTGTCCCTCCCCCCCAAGATTTTTCAGTCTGGTTTCCATATATAGAGTTTAGTTCATTTAGGTTTCAAGAACGGTTACCGCTCATTTTTTCCTGATGCATGGGACATTCTGAAGGTGGAGATGCCGTCTGATACTGCCGGGATGTGTTCGGTGACTGCTCTGCAGCAGCCGGGGAGGACGCGGACAAACCCATGGCCTCTGCACACCGGGCCTCTTATAYCAAATTTCTAAAGAAAAAGAAAGCCAACATTCGTAACACAACAGTACACTGATTATTTATTAAGGCGAACACACGTGCAATTACAGTGCTGCACCACAAATTAAAACAATTAACTAAGAACCGGTTTAAGTAACAAGCCTCCAGCCCAAACAAAACCCCAAGCGCCTACCGGGGCTGTCCCCGAGCTCCTCGCCAGCCGCTCCTCAGCTCCCGCACGCCGTGAAGGGCAGCGGCTCCCGCCGGAGCGCCCCGGGCCCGGCGCCGCCGTGACCGCCCCGCAAGGTCAGGGCAAGCCCGCCCTGTGCGCGGCCCGACGGGGCCCGGCCCCAGCACCGCCCGCCAGCGCCGCCACCCCGGAGCTGCCGCCGCCCCATGGCAGCCAGCACACCCTCAGCACCGCGCTCCTGCTCACCTCACCCGGCCCGGCCCGGCCCGCGCTCCGCGCCGGCTCCCAGCGCCTCGCGAGAACGCGGCTCCGCGGCTCTGCGGCACGCCTGCGCCCGCCGAGGGGCGGGACCGTCCTGGCTCCCGGCACGGCGCGGCTCCCCGCTCCCGGCTCCCCGCTCCCGGCTCCCGGCTCCGCCGCGGCTGCGGGACTCTTCGCCCCGAGGTTTCGCCCCGGTTCCGCGCTCTGGTGCCGGGGCCCGGCAGCCCGGGGGAGGCGCGGGGATGCCCATGGCCACTGAGGGGACAATGGCTGGGTCTGAGCCTGCCCCCGACAGCGAACGCTGCCCCGGCAGCTGCGGCTCCGGCAGCTCCGTGTGCTCGTACCTCGTGCTGGCGGCTTGCTTGTGAAATCATTACCCCTCACAACCACAAACAGTTGTTTAAGTATAGAAAAACCGCACAATGCACGAGCAGCACGCGTCGATACAGCAAAGGTGTATCCTTTTTAGTATTAAGCTTGCGGAGATAGTGAAGTTTCTTAAGATTATTCGTAAATATCAACTAGCCAAGAAATTAATCACAGCTTTTTTTAAGATTTCCTAAGATTATTGCCTTATTTCCATGCCAGAAAATGCAGTTTAACTATGTGTATGAAATACCGTGCATAACACAGAAGATGGAGCTCACTGTGCATCACAGCAAGGAATATTACCTTCATCCCACCCCTTTTTGACCAACAAGTGACAGGACCTGGCGATGCAGTAACCACTGTAACAGTATGTACAAACCCCATRGGACTATTTCAATGTTCATCCCTCCACATGGGCTCTTAAGAAGCTATTAAATGCAAAAAAGCAGGTGGGGATATGAGAAACATTMATTATAAACATGTAACAATTAGAACTGTTTAAAAACATAACCACAGGGGTTATTTTTCCTAACATTCTATTTCATTGTAACAATGACAAATAAAACTAAAGTAGAAAGGAATTCAATCTTCAAGTGGCACAGTTATTACAGCAATTTAGGATGAAGAATGCATGTAGAACCTGGGAAYTGCCATATTGAGGAACTTAATTGTCCAGGGTGAACAACCACAAGTCACCCATCCTATCTTCACTTAACAGTTTGAATAAGATCCTCCCACAGAGTAACTGAAATCTCTACTTCTAAATATTTCAAGTCTCATATACATTAGTCATTGTATAGATAATAATTTTCACCTTCTGTAAGGTAAGTAAATGTTTTTTAAGCAATGTAAAGCATTCTTTACAAATGTTCTTACAAAGAAGGTCACAATCTCAAWGAAGCACATAGTCTACCCTTCAGTATACTGCACCGTGAACTCCAGAAAAGCAGAGCAAAAGAAGATACCACAGTAGCCCACCATCTAAAAATTGACAAATATCCATTGCGAAGACTAAAAAAAATTTTTTTTTAAATCTTAGTGCAAAATTATCACACCAATACAAGGAGAGAAACAAAAGTTTTCAGCAAGAACACAGAGAATAATAAAAAAAATTGGTGAGAAAATGAAAAGCAACTTCACACCTGAGTTTGACAAAGTAGATATACAAAATACTTTCTATATCCTACATGTTAGGGAGAGATAATGCTTCTCACACTTCAAGCAAGATTTGTTGAATGCAYCTGTTTAAGAATGGCTCACTGAAAGGCATCCCTTGTTCCCAGCCATRCTCAGTCCTTCCTTTCCACCATTCAGTGTTAAAAGCAGCCTAGTGCCAATAGGAAAGCCTCCTACCAAGCCCCATTGTCCTTCCTCAAGCAGTTGGAAATCTGACCTATATAGCATCTGACCCCAAAGGATGTCTGTTTCCAGAAATTCCCACTCACTCTCTAACAGACCAACTAGTTAATTTTACACTAGCAGTGTAAAATTAGTACCCTAAATAAACAATTTACAAATGCAACTAAGCACCCTTCCAAAGAGGAGAGGAAAAAAAAAAAAGCAAAAACACTGGTCTGCTTTGTGTTTTCCTCTAGTAATTTAACCATTGCATAACCCAAAAGAAAACACAGAAACAGGAGTAACTTCTGAGCTTGAAAGCCAGTGGTTAAGWTAAAGAACAGCAGCAATCTCTAAGSATGCTCAAAGAAACCTCTAGGCTTTACCACACAACTGATGCTTCCTAGGCATATGTTCACTGTGCATTTAGAACCTGGGAATTGCCATATTGGGGAACTTAATTGCCCATCTTAGTATTCAGTCAGGGATTATGTTTATCCCCAGAGCTTCAGACAATGGTACAGCCTGTGCCCTGACACATGTGGTATTACAACACATATTGCAATATAAATATACTATCTAGTCCAAAAGTTCTTCACCAATACATAATAAAATTTATAGTTTTAAGTTACATTCCTGGCCCAAGTGATGTCCWACATAGAATTTCAGCATGGAGAAGTCCAGCCACCTGAGCAACAGTGTGGCTCAGACCTCATACACCTTCTTTGAAATAAATAAGATACAACAGGAAATCTCAAAATACCATAAGAGCCAGTTGTTTCAGAGTTGAACCCCCAAAGCATTGTTCTTTCATGATGCACTCATTATAGGTACATAAGCTCTTACCATATTAATAAAGAAAAATTCACAAAATAAGAAATTGTGTTCCTTTCCTTTATTATGAAGTACCAATACCTTGCATACAACATGCAATTTATTGCTTATTGACATTATTGCATATATCAAAGGGAAAAAAAATCAGCCAATATCATTTTATGCAAGCTCCTAAACTGTTCAAACAAAATACAGAAATGCTTTACAATATCACTGAAATGCTAACAAATAATTCGGATTCTTTCTTATAATAAAAAGTAAATTTAAACCCATAATACTTAATCATTCACCTTACTATGATGGATGACTATGACCAATCTTCAGAATTGTTATATTGCATTTTTAAGTTCTTGTGCCTTGATAAGGATTGCTACTACAATCAGGTCACATTGCTAGTTGAATTTAATAATGTGATCCTGACATTTTGTGRCAGTATTAGAATTTACTGCAAACCAGATTGTCAAGCTTTACCAGAAATCATTGTAGCATAATCTACAGTTTTCACCCTTGCTTTGCACATAAGTTAGATAAAYTCATCAAGTTTCTTCTTAGAAGATTATATAAACGTTTTTGAATTGCAGGCTCCATTACTTAGGCCTAACTTGCAAGTCATTTGTTCCCAACAGGTTTTTTAATCTGATTTTATAACAGGTTAGCTGTGCTTATTCTACACATATAGGTATCTGCCAATATTGAAGAAAACACTGTTTGGTAAATGCATGCTAAAAACAAATCCAGGATATTTGGATGTGTGCATATTAATTGTGCAAATTATATAGCCGAGCTCATGATTAGCCCTTTTTTTCTCTTCCCCCTATGATTTGATGGATTTTTCTCGTGAAACTGGAATAGGATTACTATAAACAAAACCATATTGCATTCAAAATTCTGTGTTCTGTATTACAGCTTAGTATTAATATTTAAATGTTGCTTTCAAACCTAGCAAATATTCAAAAATACCAAAATTTAAAAATTTAGAAGACAATTTACATGCAACATGTTCAATCTGGGTGCAGATTCTCATATACTTAAATATTTATAGGCTCATAAAAGCATGTCCTGTCCACAAGACAAGTACAATGTTTGACATCTCACACATAGATTAAAAATAAAGATACAATACAGAATATTCTATTTGCTTTTGTATTTTCAATTTCAGTAAGTAGGAAGTTATAAATAGCACATTGAATTATTATATGGTTGATACCAAGCCATGCTGAACTCTCCATASTTCACTCTCTTGAAGACAGTTCTTACAACTAGGTTAAAAACATACACACTTTGTTATAAAAAGATGCCCTCTCGGTGCAGGACATCACACAATGAAGCTGTTCTCAGAAGAAATTTTTGCCAAAGTATTTCTTACACTAAACAACRCAATTTATTCTTCATAGCTACCTTCCATTCTTTACTGAGCTATAAAGTGCTTGGTTATTATAAATAGAGCAAGAATGTCAAAGGAGGTAGCTAGTAGAAATTTTTAATGGATAAGAAACTTTACCAAGTGTTACCACCTGAAAGTATTACTTGATRCTTAATCCCAGATCTCTAAACAACCCAGGAAGCACATATTTCATCTCCTCTGCCATAAAAAGAACTTTCAAGTTGCTTTCAGAAAATCCTAAGACCTTCACCTGTCTAACAGAGATTTTATCCAGGTCTGGATGAATTAAAGTTCATAAATATTATGACTACTTCCATTTGGCTGCTGTCAATCAGAATCTCAGCCGAAGTACTGCTGTTTTTCTGGCTGTGTTCCAGACAGAGAAATTCGACCAGGAAGAAACTTTCCCTTGTGAAGTTCCTTGTAGCCAGATAATGCTGTTGTACAGTAGGCTATTAAAAACATGAAAGGGGCTTGTGATACTTTCAAAGTCTTYTACACTTGCACTTTTTCATCTGAAAATTTTAGTCCCTTTCTATTTGCAGTCAACACCGCACCAGACCCTAAACTGGAGTAATTGTCAAGCAGCCCTTTATTTCTCTCTAAGTGGCTCAGCAGAAGCATCACAAACAATTTTTCCAACTGCTCTATTAAATGAACTTTTACAGMAAGTTTGTACATACATATACTTGAACACAGACAAGGCCATGAGAAAAGCCCTCTTCATACAGTAATCAACAACTACTATTCCATTTTATACAGCTAGAAAATTTTCAAGAATAAAGTTTCATTTTCCATTGTGAACAGAGACACAAACACCTAAACCTTTCTGCTACGTATCAGTCTGCTGTTGTCCCAACCACAGCAGTAGGAAGACATYTGGATCTCTATGTGTGTCCTCAGTCTGCTCCTCCTGTCCTTTTGAAACCTGCCTCCATGCATTTGCTCACTTGTGCAAGCTTTTACCCTTAGGTTAACATTAGTTCTGCACTATGAGTAATCTTCTCCCACAACATTTTAAAAAAGATGGAAGTAATTCTCTTCCAGATACTGTAACTAATTTAACTTTAGTTACAGTAAACTTTAACTTTAACTTTAATTTAACTAATAAACTTTAGCATGAAATTTGGAATTGTTAAGAATTTGTATATTAAGTCCACTCCCCTCATTTTCCTGTGCACATATTTCATTAGTCAATGAAATATTGAACATTGAAAATTTATTATTTTTAAGCAATTAAGTTATTAAATTATTCAGCTCACTCAAGATAGCATGTATTTATAGAGGCAGAGCAGGCTACAGAGATGCAATTCTTATCACTGAAGAATTCACACAGATAACCCATACAGCATCTCTGTTGTGTGGGACTACTGAAATCCACTGAAACACTGAGAAAATGAGTATTTGAACTAYACTTCCTCTCTGCAAGTACTGATTCCACAAATCAGTTACAAAACACCTGGCCTACCCTTCTCCTGCAGAGTTCTGAAAGTGGTATTTACTCATCTTTTGATGAAAAAGTAAAGCCATGAAAAAGGGAAACTTGCATTTCTACATACAGCCTAACCTGTACAAACTGTCTCTCCCATGATCATCGAGCTAATTTTATGTTACCTGGTATTGAAGAATGGAAAAGAAAAGAAAAACAAGATCTTTTTTACAAGATTCACTCCTTCCATTTGATATGCCCACAGAAAAGAYACCTGGAGACATGCAAAGAGTCTGCTTTTACAATGCATCTGTTAAAATGAGAAGTTTTAAGCCACTAATAAGATATTACATTCAAAAGCATTTGTTACGATGCTAATTATCATGCATTTACCTTTTAGCATTAAAGAAAGCAAAGACACAAGCTTACAACATTAAATTTCATCAATATTTCACCACATTTTTTTAAATTAATAAAGTGCAATTAAAAACAGGTGCCACAGCTATCTAATTTGCTGTATTATAAGCTTTTAATGGCAGGTAAAAGTGTCTTATATACTACTGTATTCAGTACATCACAACTTGGCTGCCTGTTTACTGAAGTCCTTGCTGAAACCACAGGTGTTAATAGTTGCTTCATATGAAAACATTCTTCTGATGCATCAGGACATAACTGTAACAACTTTTTTTAAAAAATTATAAAATTTAAACCTAATGCATTGTGAAATAAATTTTTAATTACACTGATTTTGTACAGCAATCCAAAATACTAGCTGTTCTAAAAGAATCATCCCACTGCCATTCAGTTCTGGATTGTTGGCCAAAGTGTATGATGCAGAGTTTTGGATTGGTTTTGCTTCTAAATCTAGCTTTAACATTACTTTTATTATATGCTGACTTTTTCTTCCCCCATCAAACAGAAGAAGTCTATCTAGAAATGGAAGCAGACAATTTTAATGAATGACTTCCACTGAGAACAAAAAATTTAAAATACTAAAATATTAAAATCAATGCTAAGAAATGATAAATTTCAGAAACTTTCCATGAGTTATCAATCTAAGAGTTGCTCCAAATCATCTTTTCAATTTTTTCATCCTACTTCCCAAATAAGAAAAGCAGACTTCTACTTTCAAACATATTCTCCAAAACGTCTGAATTTACTCAAATTATTTTAGAAAGGAACAAGCTATAACAAATCAATTAAATCACAGGCATCTAGTGATTTAAAAAGTAAAGAAAAGAGTATCTCATATACACCTTTACATCATAAAGGTGACAGAAACACAGCCTTTTAATAATTTTTAATTAGGTACACTGAAATCACCTTTTAAAAGATACCAGGTCCTGCAAATTAGCATAAAAGAGAGCCTATTTCTTTGAGCAAAGCAAGCCCCAGGATCAGCTCTCAGAGATGGCAGATTTACTGGTACCCAGATGAAGCACTCACTCACATCACACAGATCAACACAATAACTGTGGATCTCCCAAGGCATAAACAGATCCTTTGTCTGTAGGCCTGTGAAGTATTAATGACACAGGATCCAAAAACCAGAAGTGCTAACAGTCCTTGCTATCCCCCTTAACAAGGCAGGATTGGGAAACTGTTTTAGGAAAAAGCCTGCCCAGCTAAGCAATGGAACCAGGCTCCTCAAAGTGCCTATTACACAAATCCAAACACTACTCCCTGACAGCATTTCAACTGGGGAACTAAACTGATTGCAGCTGCCTTGGCTAAAAAGCGTTCAGCCTGCACACTCCTTCGGGGTCTGACATCCCATTTCTGGAAGAAGGGAATGCTGAGTCCCTCAAAGGGAGAGCGGCACACTGACACTCTACAGAGGAGAGAGCTCACGTCACCCAGCTTTGTCAGAGGCAACAGGGCTAATCACCCAACACAGGGTAAATATGCTGTCTTTGTGTCTAAAAATAAATTGCTTTAACAGATTGCTACAATAATTGAGATGTGCGCTAAAGTGTCAGTGAAAATGGACACTTTTAGCACACCTACACCAAGGAAAAACSTAAGTTAATCAGTCCCAATTCTAGTTAAAAGAAGCAAAATAAAACAAATTTACACATATAGCTCTCAAAATAATTTTAACACAACTTAGAATTTAAACATAACTTAGAATTTCCTCAAATTGTATTATAAATGGGGTTTAAGACTACTCCTAAATGGTAAGATTCCTCTCTGATGACCTCCAAGCCTTCAAGTTGACAGAAGGAGGAACTGAATACCTATGACAAATGTGTGGTTTAACAAAAGAAAAAAATKGTGTCAACAGATGTCAACTTTTCCTTCTACAGAATTACCATACAGTTTTAGAGGAGTTTGGCACAGTTAATTCAAGAGTGATTTTAGTCAACACCTCAGATTTCTGATTTGATTAACAAAGAARATGTGACAAAAACTGTCAACACTTCATATCGAATAGGTCATTTCTGTGATAAAAGAAAAAAGTATTACTGAAAGTTACACATCACATATACAAAAGAATTTTATTTCTTTGCAGTTAAACTTTGAATCCAAATAGCCAACGGTTAGAAATACTCTGAGAAGAAGTGCAGCACTTATCAAAGGTAGTAGCAGCAAAGGAAAAAGCACTTCAGTAAGAACRATGCTATTTCCACTCATCATCTACCATATTAATTTACAAAAAATGTTCCATGGGGAATTTAGAAGATGTACTATTGCATCTAACCTAGAATAGCAAATGGGAATCCTTCCCATCAAAATGACAATTCTATTAACTGTTAAGATATTATCTGGTCTTATAATACAGCATTTTAGATAAAATTATTTCATAAATTTCCCAAAATGGTTTGCATTCATATAATGCAGAACAAAAAGCAGTAAAAGACTTCACAGAATCAAAGCCAAATTTTTAGCTTTTCTTGCAAAAATTAAAAAGTTGTCAAGAATGAAATCTTGATTGTTATTCCTAGAAGAAAACATAGAAACGTGCCTGGAAAATTGCACCATATCAGGAGTTTGGGGTATTTTTCATTTTCTAAAAAAAACAGATATGTCAGTATTCACCAGATTTATAAAACATTTTAATCTGAGAAACCTGAGAGAAACCCTTTGAACGCACTGGTRGACAACAAGCGAGTAACCAGTCTGCTCCCTTCTAATTTCTGATGCTTGCAGCTGCTTAGAACAGGCATGTGGAACTCATCTGTGTGAGCTTTTGCTTYTACTCCTCACGGGACAGGATCCGTAAAGCGTGGCCCTGGGCGTGCAGGCAGTGTGGCTAGGGAAAGAGTAAGGTCAGTACAGAGGTAATACCTTGTTTCCATAATAGGAGCATTCCATGGCAGAAATGTGCACTGTTTCAGTGAACCCAAACTATTTTCATAGCAGAAATTTCATTTTATCAATGATTTCTAAGCAGATTTTCCGTTTCTATGAGTTTTAGCTTCCTCCTGTCCGATAAGACAAATGACTTTGTGGCATCCTTTCGCAATTTTGAYCATCCACATCACATTCATAATATCCAAGGCAACACTTGAGATAATCCAGGCGCTCTGGGCTGCGAGTCCCAATCTCCAGAAACCTTCTGTTCCAAATGAAGAAATGACATGGCTGTAATATACAGGCATGACGGCAATCCTCACCACGAAGAACACAACTGTCATCAGCACACCATTGATCATGTTGGCCTTTGAAGATTTGGGATATCCCAGTACTTCAAAAAACCACCTGCAAAAGAAGTGTTCACAAATACCAGGCAGACTTGAAGCCATCTCATTAAAAATTACTTTACTTCATGTTTACTTTTAATTCAGCATTTATTAATTGCTGCTACCTTTATTATTTCTAAATTATTGCACTGTGTCTTGGCTTAGTTACAAGTTCTTCCGCTTGGCTGCACATTTATTTTCCCCACCACTCATGCTGTGTATGATATCCAGTATATTGCAGAACAGCAAACAGAAAACCCTGAGATGAACTGTAAACCAGTTGACAACCAGTGTCCATTTCAGTGACTATTGTGTAACATACAATAATAAAATTATCTTTTGAAATAATAAAGACATATTTGTTACTTGCTATTATAGCTCATAGCTACAGCAACTAAAATTCTCTTCTATTTGCATTTGGATTTGGTAATCCAGATAGAGCTCTAATGTCTTGTAATTGGGATTTTCTGACTGCTTCTGTTCAGCCCAAAACCAGAACATTTTCAGAACCAGACACTGTAAATGGCTCTTGATCATGTCATAGCTTGGATGTTATGCAATGAAAAAAATAAATCTAAAAACTGCCTCTTCATCTACTACTGGGTCATAAATGGTCTTTWAAAAAGAATTATTGCATCTTTATTCCTCAGTAGATAGGCTTAACTTATCTAATGCCTAGCACACAGAACCTAAGCACATAACAAATAAACAACAAGTAAAGTAACAAATAAACACAAGTAAAATGTGTGCAGMAATGTCAGAGCAAAATAACTTAAATCACTGTATTCACAATGGGGGATGGGGAAGAGAATAAATTAATCAGGGTTTTCCCAATAAGATATAAGGCTAAAATTTTTTCACAAAAAACAAATCTAAAACTCATTTTAAAAATAATTTGAAATTTAATTACCTACAGATTACAACCCAGGTAATTATAAATACACTAAAAAGATTTGCCAGACATCCAGCTCTAACGAAAATACTCCAGAAATTCATTAAGCATGCAACTAGGACAATTAAAATCCAGGCACTCGAGGTGGCAGTCCAGCCCGGAAGCAAGATGCCTCACCACAGAAACACTTACTGACATGATGAAGAGAAAGACCTGATATGTTTGGTCAGATTAACAATCAAAGCTGTAACTTTCCATTATATGTACAAAATGCAGAATCAAAAAGTAATGTAAATAATGGTTTTCAAACATCCAGCAACGTGCCAGTATAGGTAATTGGACATCTGTTTAGCAAMTTCACTCTTCCAGCAAATTTTAAAAAAAATAAAGTCTGTAAATAACAGTTACTGTCACAATTTTATCCACCACAGTTCAGAATTAATTACATAAATGCTGATACTAATATTAAAAGATCTAAAAGCTTGGCATGAAGACAACCTCCAATTAGAGATCCCTAACAACACAGACAGGAAATACACAGACAGTTCTGAGATTAGAATATCTTTTYATATTTTAATAAGAGCTCTTTTGGTAGCACTAAGAATGCAAACAAGAAACATAATGTAAGTCGTTATCATTATCCACGACTTACTGTCTTAAGGGTCTGATTCACTTCAAATTTAATGAAAAAAAAAATCATGCACTAATGAGATGACATCCCTTAGTGCAAGGGACTTTATTATCTCCTGCAGCAATTTCTGCTTTTCTGAGAGAGTGCTAAATGTCAGTATTCAAAGACCCATAATCTCACCACAGGCATTTTAAAAGTATAACATAAATTACTTTTAATAGCCAGATGTCCCACACCACAGTCTGAAAGGTRTAGGAACCCACCTGAACCCAGGATGAAATCCTCTCTTAGTAAAATCTAGGACAACAGCCATTCACTAGGACATGAGTATCAATATAAAACCATTTTCTTCATTCAGTTTGAAGAAGTGTTTATTTAGYCTTCAGTTCCTCTGTGCACACAGAGCACAATGGACTGCAATCTACTCAGCTGCACTGGGGCAGATGAGAGCAGCCTCAGGAGAGCCCTGTTATCCCAGCCTCTCCTCCTGTAAGTTTGAGTTTACCAAACTAATGCTCAAAAGGGATCTCAGCACAATCTTTTTTTATTCATAAGAGCTCTGAGGAATGCCACAGTGTCATAAAACACTTCAGAGATTACAGTCACAATGCAGTAATGGGCAATAGCCTGTCTGCAGKGGGAATACAGTTTCTATTTGCCTTATCCTTTCTCTACCAGGCATCTGAAAAAGAAAACAGATGCCACACAGGTAGAATCAGTAAAGCAGAAATACACCCCAAAAAGCATGGGTAAGAAAACAGCATCTGACGCACAGGAAGTTCTCATCCTACACTGCAAAAAATGGGAGGCAGAGGAGAAGACTGCACTGCTGCCCTGTACCAAAGCCCCTCAACGGAGCTGAAGTTTTCCTGGGGCAAATCCCTATCCCCAGCTGGGTCCTGGTGCCTACAGAGTAMGGAGAGAGGCCACCCTCCCCAGAGCACCATGAGACTCCAGCAAAGCTTTCCCCTTGCTGCAGTTTGTGGCATTACCATCCTCCTCTGAGACCGCAGCAAATCAGCAGAAACACTTTAACCAGCAGCCAGGACAGGCTCTGACTCTGAGCTCTGCAGAAGCAGCCCCTGCCCCTTTCTTCTCTAATCACAGGGGTGTAGATTAACTATTCCAAATATATTTAAGGGCTCAAAGTAACTTGCAGAACTGTTTTTGAAAGCAAATAAAGAATATACATTTATGTTATTATAGATATTTGTATCCATATATTAATACTAAATGTGTGGAATATTGGAAAATGAACTTCAAATTGTACAGGGCAATGCAATTCCACTCTAGGATTCTGATGACAATATTATCTTGCTTCTTTTCCTGATCCATAATACCAAGAAAAAACATCTATATTGAAGATGGCTTTATTATAAAAATTAAATTAATATACAAAATTTAATTTTACACAAAACAATACTTTATTTGTGAACTTCTTTGTTTGGTATTTTCATGAAAATTTGGCATTTCATACAAAGCCTGGTCTAATCTAAAAAGGAACTCAGGGATGAATACAGTAGTTATACTATTGCAGCAATAGCAGCAAAACATTTTCATAGCAAAAAAGACCTCCACATAGTAATCTTTAGCTCAATATAYATAAATTCCCTCTCAGCAAACATTCAACAACAATGAAAAGGCTTCCTAAGTGACAGCAATAATAATACAGATTAAATTTTAAAGGAACTATGGAAAAACTGCCTAATCACTTACCGCTGATTGACAAAAGGAGTGGAGAACTCTGCAAGCAGACGGAAGTTTCCAAAATAAGCCAGCAGACCTTCGCTCTGTTAGCAAAACAAAACAGACACACAAAAATTAACAATGTAGATRTGCAATTGTCATTTGAGTCTCTAAGTATACACAGAATGATACACCACCYTAACTTCTTTATTTAACTGAGTTTGCCAACTCTGGTGCCTTTCTTGAAATTTCAAAACAAGTTTTATCACAAAACCTGCAATTGTCCTCAGGTGCCTCCAATCRGTAGCTTCTTACTTCAAATAAACTTTTATAAGACCTCCAGTTAAACAGCCATGGAAAGCTAATCAGAGAAGATGTGCACAAGTAGTCACAGATTATTAATTGTCATGACAGCACTACTGCCTAAAAGAACAGAAACACTGTATGCTGAAGAAAAATCTCCCTGCATTGATTTAGGAACAAATTCTGCAAAAGCAAAGACAAATTCTCAGCTTTTGTTTGGCAGCAGGAAGGGCAGGTGAAGCCCTCTGTTCCCTCCTGCAGAGGGCAGAGGTGGCTCTGTCCAGCAGCCCTGCCGTGCCTGTGCTTGGGAAGG